TCTTGGGCTCGTTGGAACGAGCGTCGCGAGCTCTTTCCAACGAGACCCCAACCAACGCAAACCGTTAAGAATTGAAAACGTTATGTTGATTTTACCCTTCCGCCGAAGGCCTGCCTGTGCACAGGCCGCCTACTCGCAACCCGCCTGTGCACAGGCGTCCGCGTCCGTGTTGTAAGCCGCCTACTCGCAACCCGCCTGTGCACAGGCCGTCCGCCTGTCCTACCCCCAAGCCGCCTACGCGCAAGTCGTCTTGGGCCGAAGGCTCCTCTATATCAGAAACTTCCGCCGCTCCTAACTCGGTGATGCCTCATCCGTTTCAAGAGTTCTTGGTCTCGTTGGAACAAGCGTCGCGAGCTCTTTCCAACAAGACCCTAATTGAGTCAAGGCGTCACACATTGAAAACGTTATGAGAGTTTCACTCCTTCGCCGAAGGCCTTTCCCCGAAGGGACTTCACCGAAGGCACTTCGCCGAAGACCTTGCCCGAAGACCCCCTTCCGCACCTTGTGCCCCCTAACCATCACACCAACTACTAATCTTTCAGAAACTTTCAGAAAACCCCAAGCATAATTTTGCAAGAGCTTAAATCCAAACTTTTAACTCTCATAAGGGTAAAAAGACATGTGAGCACAGTTTTGTGCTCACAATATTCCTCCCTCTTCTCATGTGGCTTACTATGGCAATCTTTTTTCATATGGCCCAGCTTGCCACAATTCCAACACTTCATCTCCTTCTTGTTACCTTCCTTTGACTTGGATCGGTTTTGCGACTTGCTGACGCTAGCAGATCGCTTCTCCAATCTTCCACGAGTGACATAGAGAGAGGTAGAAGAAGAAGAAGATGTTGAATAAGAGACCAGCTTTTGTTGGATGTTGTCTGTCAACAAAGTTGTCACTACCTCATTGTATGTGATGCTCTCTTTGTCTCGATGAAGCAACACACGAGATAGAGTGTGATATGATGCTAGCAAGGAACTTAAAAGTAGCAATGACTTTTTCTCATCACTCAAATCCTCACCCAAATTCAAAAGATCCACCAACAAATCATTGAAAGCATCAATGTGGTCTTGGATCTTTGTATCTTCCACCATTTTGAAGCTCATCAGCTTTAACGATGTGAAAAGTCAATTTGACAATTCCTTCATGTGATATTCCGCTTGAAGCGCTTGAAACATTGTTTTCAGAGTCTCCAACTCCTCCACTTGTTTCAACACATTTGGCTTCAAGTAGAAAGTGACAGTACTCACTTTTTGATCTTGGATGTCATTCCAATCCTCGTCATCAACATTCAGGGGTTTAGGCTTGAGAACCTTTCCCAAGCCCATAGCCTTGATTACATTCCTGACTTGCCGTTTCCATAGGAGATAGTCGGTACGGCCATCAAATCTTTCAACTTCAAACCTCGGTCCACCAACCTTAGATAGCATCATAGGTTTGATCAGCTTAAGACGTTCCGGAATAACTTCTATATGATACTTAGAAAGAAAGCTTGACTTCTCACTTTTGTCGTCTGAATGCAGGGTTCTAGCACCTTCAGCAACAATTGGAACAAGTTCCGCTCCTCGCTTCAAGCTACTCATGCCCACAATGCACTCACCGTGTTAACCGTTCTCAACACTTAGCCCCAAAAAACGTCAATAATTGAAAGTTTTCAAAATCAAAATCTGAGACCATTCACGCGTATTGTATAAGCCAACACATTGGAATGTGAAAACGGTTGTCAAAATCAACTCCAAATAAAAAGTTATTAACCCCCGAGTTTAGGGGGATAAAAACTTGAATCTGGACCCCCCAAGGAAATCTTTCCTACCAAAACTTTACTCAAAGTCTATTTCCAAAACCGTCTTGTAGATTACGTGCTCAACTAGCTTGAGAATCACCCTGTAAAATTTGAGCTCAAACGAATATCATTTGTATACCCTAATACACCAAAAATGGCAAAAAATCAACTCTCTATTTGATTCTTTTTTGACAATATTCCTCACAGTTTCTCTGTACAGCTTACTCTCACTGTGCATCTTGGTTGAACGTTTCGTCTTCCGACCCAACTATGTCGGGTACCTTCCGACTCCACTATCTCGGATCCACTTCCAAATATCTTGGAGCCCCCTTAAACCACTCCAACACTACGACACTGTGAAATCAGATTAACAAGAATTGACCTAAATCTTCAATCACTCGTAAATTAAACAAACTTTAGGTCAAAATGATTGTCTCGAACAATACATCAGTCTTATCTGTGAAGATTTGAAAAATTTGGTAACATAAAATTCAGAGTTTGGAAAAACGAAGCAGTTTCTCTCATAGTAGATTGAAAGAGAGCTTTATGTTTCAATTTCCATAAAATCTCTCTAATCACTCGATGAAACTTTCTACTTCTTTCACTACTCTTCTATAGAGAATCAGCCAACCATATCTCTCAAATTGCGAGTACAATCTCTGACAGCGCTTTTGTGCTTCCCTGCTCTTCAAAAATGTGAAAATCAAAAATCAACGTGCATTGAACGAGCTCTAATACCAATTGAAAAAGCATTAAACAAGTGGAAAAAATGCATAATTTTGATCTTAAAAGGTCCAAAGTACCCAAAAAAATTTCAAGAAATACCACGTTCGTCAAAGTTCTTTAGTTTGCCAATGAATGCATAAGTAGAGTAGAGTCATGATCTCCATTTTTTACATTTCTTGGTCAACTATAACAATGCATTCAATGTGTGTTCCAATAAGAAATTGCATTTTCCATCCGTGATCTTAATCTTAGTTACATAGTTTACTCAAGAATAGTGAGATCTGATCAAGTATTACAAAAGAAATATAACAAGTGTTTGCTGAAGCTTAAAGATCAATTCAAGAATGTTTGCAATCTTATCTTAACAATGGACGAAACGGAAGATGATTCCAACAACTCAATCACCAACGCAAAACAATGGAACTTAAACATAATACACTTTACAATTAAGTCAACAGAAAATGTGTTAGAGTAACGGTTGATATTCTCAACTAACAAACAAAAGTCTTCTTCTATTGACATCAATCGTTGTCTTTGTATTTGATAGTCCAATTATCATGATCAAAATAAGGAATAAATTAGTCATTCGCATTCAAACATTGTTTTTTTGCATTGTTATTTTCATTAGTTTAATTTGATCACAAATAATTCGTCAGCTTAGTGCATTATGAAACAAGTTTTTTAAGAAAATTGCAATATGATCAATTTTTTCATGAGTTTTCGCTTTTGTACAATACAGTTCAAGATGTGGGTATGAGAAAACAACATTTGACTGAATTTTCAAGAAATTTTCAAATTTTTGTGAAACATGATGGTATTCAGGAGTGCTTATATGTCTCGGTGTCGCATCATATCACAAAGGTTTTCAAGATTGTTTTCAAGTCAAGACTAGTTAACAAGTTGCAAATCAACAAGTGCATCTCCCCGTTAATGGACAATAATTATCACTTTGCAATCAACAAGTACATTTGCAAGCTCATCAAGCCAATCGCTGAAAATATAGCTTGTCTTCAGCAAAATTCCACCACATTAAATCAAATTTTTGCAAAAGTCATCAATCTCTATACAACTGTGAAATTCGTGTACGTTACTAAGAACTACAGCAGCTTCAAACCCCTCCTTGTCAAGATTATCATGCAATCTATTTTGTAACTCTCTTTCTAAATCTCGTCACCAATCCGTTGTCATCTCTAAATAGAAAATGTACAGTTAGATTGGGAAAGATATTGCAAATCTTGCCAAAGGATGAAGGTTTATCAAGATGTATATTATATCAATGCTAGCAGAATCAAATGACTTCATCAATAGAACTTCACTAACAATTCAAAGAAAGATTTTGGGATGGATTCTTGTGTTTGCAATGAAAATTTTTCCATCCTTCCTCATAATGTCACAGTGGAGATACTACTTTAGAAGCTATCACAATGAAAGATAAAAATTCACGAGCATATGACGGTGGAAGGGATGAAAATGTTTCTTATCATCAGATCTAACCTTAATCTACATCCCAACGCCATCTACACTATTGTCACAAGATCAAGTGAGTTAATTCAGCATAACATTTTGAAGGAAATGAATAATGCATTTTGAGACCGGAGTATGAATTGGACTTTGGAAAATTTGGAGTTTATTTTGAACAATAATGATGATTTTGATGTGTGTTTTGATCTTATTATATACAAATTAGAGTCTTCACCGGCATAAAAATAATAAATGATGAAGATTGAAATGTATATTATCTGTTATCTTGAAATTTTTTATATTATAATATTTTATTTTTGCATATCTTGTAATGATAAATATTATAAAGATGTTAAATTATAACCATAAATTCTTGAAGGTCACATGTCATTGTAAATTCATATATATATATATATATATATTGTGATTAACCTACTCATTCTTTTTCTATGGTTTGCATTTGTTCACTAAAAGATCTTCAATTAGTTACTGGTTTCGGAGATTCCGTAATCTTCATACTGTTAGTGACAGTATGTACTTGTTGTTGTCTGCTCAAGGTGATAGAAGAATTTCTTTCCAGAATATCGCGGAAAACCATACAAGTTGTGGAGGAAGCTACTTTGGATCGTTTACTACACCTAGAGCAGCTTCCTCCTCCTCTGTGGTAAACGCTTTCGCGAAGCTATTTCATACAGTAAACCAAATCGAGAGAAACCAAACGAATCTTCCAGTGAGGTATTTACTGCATAACCTCATGACTAACCCTTAATAAAGACTGCATTTGAATTCTCGTGAACTGCATCTTTTCGACCATTCTACTTCTAAGAGTGTTTTATTTCCATAGAGATATCTTTTCTGGTACATCAAATTTCCGTATAATTAATACACGCCTGCCTTTTGACTCCAAAAATGGCGTGACTCCAAAAACTTTGTTGTGCCTACAACCCTAACTAACTTAACCTGTGCTTTCGGTTTCCGTAATTTATATCCAGTAGATTGAGAAATTTGTCCATGTTAGAAATCTCTTTCAAGTCCCTTTGTTCAATACGGTAAACTTTTTTCTTCAAACAATACTGCAACTTCTTTCTACTGGCCTTATGAAAACATTCCCAAGTGTACTTGGGAATATTTGGGGAAAAAACGGTTATCTTTCTTGCGTGGTATATGTGTTTTGTATAAGTAGAAAAGTCAACTGACCTCATTTGCCGCTGTATAACTGTAATATGCTACAAATTTCAGCCCCTCATTTTCTGCGTGCCACATCCAGCTGAAGTTTCTAGTTGAAAGTCTGCCAAGATAACTACCTAGCAATGTGTTTTAGGCCTCCATTGCTGGTACCACGAGATTGCCTTTGGGGTTTAGACGCTAGAAAATTGCATAAGAAAGGTCGGTCGAAAGCACGAGTTGAACTTCGCCAGTTTATTATATGTGCCTAGCAACTTCAACTGCTCCAGGTACATGATAATAATCAAGTGACAAGAAGAATAATACCGACAGAAAACAAGGAGAGACACCGAGTGACATCGAATTATGTCTTAACTTCTCGAGGATACAAGGTATTCAAAACAATTCGTGAGAACAGGTAACTAATGGCTTCTACGTCCCCTCTGGTAATAGCTTCAGCATCAGGAGGGCTTCTCTTTCCGCTTTCTCTCTTCAATGCTTCCTGCCGATGCTTGGAATTGAAGTCTCCAAGTTCATCTCTTACTGCCCCCCTAAACAATCCAAGCGCCTTCTGAGAGAACGCCTGAGCCAAAGCTATCTGATGATCCACAATATGAGCACGTTAGTGACAATCAGATAAGAAGCTCCCGTCAAGATGAATACTGGCAATATATATCAAACTTCGACCCAAACCACTTCTACAAGACCGAAGGTGATTTACAGAATTCCGGACGTTCGTCAGCAAAGCTGAAAACACCTCGTAAAACTACTCACAGTATTCGCAAACTGGTAAATACAAGCAGTCAGATAAGATCACAAACAACTGGCTGACTTAGCATCAGACCCGAAGTAAAGAGCAAGTAGCCAGTTAAGGGTATCCGGATCGAAAAACAATGGTCGCAAAAGAAAATAACCCACCGAATCTTCAGGTTCAGCCCCTGTAAGCTCTTGCATGACTTGAGTTGTCACCGCAGCGTCCATCATTCGATTCAGACAAGCTTTGGCATTCTCCACAAGCACTGTGGCTTCTTCCAAAACGGTTTCATTGCTCACTGGAGCTGAATCAATGCTTTCCGCCTCTCCTCCGGGACTTACCACCTGTTTGTGCAGTTTTGCATGTATCCGTATTGCTTTCTCTGCTGCTTTCTGTCTATTGGTCGTATGGTACATGGTTAATGCAGCAGCTCCGATCACAACGGGACTACACTTTCCCTCGGTAGTAGCAAGATGAAACGCCAGTAACGCTACCCTGCACACCGTGACATTCCAGAGGGTTGAATCGCCAGCACATTGCAACTCACATCTATATTAAGAATCAGTAGGTAAAAGATTATTGACTAGTATAGACGCGACAAGGTGTACAGGTAACAGGTAACAGTCCGGAAAATAACTCTGATTCCATCATGTAGTTGCCCTGGACAACCGCCATCCTGTTCAGCAAATTGAATTCGTTTTTTCTTAACCAAGCCCCTAAGGATTTCGCGTGAGAAGAATTTTGATAACAATAAGCATAGATGTGGTTATAGATAGGCAGTCAGATGCCTGTCAATTTCCTTTGCTCTTCCTTGCTCCTCTAAGCTATGCTAACGAGCTTATGTGAGGTAGTGTAACGAGTAAGAAAAGAGGGTAAGTCACACTAAGCTATCATTCGGATAGATTAAAGGAACTGACAACGTCTGCATACCATAATGAACCGTGGCAGGGTCGATCCGGCGCAACCACTTTATCCAGGTTTCTAAAGAGGTCCTGCAAAGTTCAAATTACAAATGTGAAAAATACTCCTCCGCCATCTTGACACATGACAAAAAAGGAAAAACTTTTCTTTCACTCTCAAATAGATCCTGTGGCTCCACGCACCGTCCTAGTACCATCCCAGTAAATATCATTACGTAAAAGCAGCGATCTACTCACAAGAAGGAAGTTGGAACCTTCCTCTCGCCTCCTGAAGTTAGTTTCCACAAAATGAGCGGCCTGCACAAGATCCATATTTGCAAATTCAGATCAAGTTTCAGACGTGAAGTATTTGTTGACTTCACTCAATAAAAATAAAGTTTGAGGCAACCCAGGGCAAACACAGAGAGCAGACCAAAAAGTGAGTAAACAGTAAAAGAAAAGCATGACGTAGTACCTGCAAAGGGAGGATTAATTCAAGCACTCCGTATCTCCACAGGAGTCTCAAGGAAGGCTCTGCAGCCCCGTAAGCGAAAAACATATTCGCTTCCAACATCAACCTGCCCTGAAGTGTCAAGAGGATCTCTTGTAAGTCACGTGCCCATCGGGGGACAGGGATCTCTAATCTATGTTCCTAAAATGGCTTGCACGAATGTCGTCTTCTCTTCCATTTATCGACCACTTTCCACAAACGCAATTTTACTGCGATGCACATCAGTTTCAAATTCAATAGTTTAGACTATCTATAGAAGTAAATCAAGATATTCAGAAAACATAGACTACAGATAGCACCTCCTGTTTTGGATGTACCTTGTTTAGTTTCAAGAGAGAAAACCGTTGATCTTTAATAGCACGAGCAGTACTCCTGGTGAACGTAAATCCAAGTCGTGCGGCGATTCTGATTGCTCGCAGTATTCTAGCTGCACGGAGAACAATCAGATTACTCATGCCTCCAGTTCACAGTAAAACAGTTCCAGATATATTGTTCGAAGTCCCAAACATCGATGAAAACGTCGACAGCTATGTGCAAAACGTACGGATGGCTAAATGAGACTTCTGTACACAACTCAAAAGTTCAAAAATAGTATCTTCTCCGTATTTAAAACCTTACCGGTATCTTCTGCGAAGGATTCGTCAGCAGGAATTACAGTCCGCACCTGTGAATACAAATATGTGAGTCAGTCATCCTTCCGTACTTACACTGGTGAGTGACAGCAGAAAACTGCAAACGACAGATCAAGGAAATATAGTGACATACCTACACTATATACTACACGTCTTCATAGAAACAAAATCAAACTACTCAGTATCACAAAGTTGCTTTCCTGCTGAAAGTGTTCAGAAAGATACAAGATCAAGACAAAAGGATGTATAATTAGTTCCACCTTGAACTTCTTCAAGTCTCGCAGGCCGCCGACATAGTCATACAAGAGATGCTTAAAAGGATCATACATGAGCCTGCACAGCAATCTGACAAAATTAGGTGACAAAAAACAACTGCTAGACAAAACTTCGGGTTGGCCTCCGGCAAAAGAACATCCTCATCCTATGTCCGTACGTAAAATTCTCCCCGCCTACTACGACACAGTATACAACCACAAAAGTACGGATAAGAAAGCCTACATACCCGTTGATTGTAAAATCCCGTTTCATGGAATTCTCCCACCGAGCAAAATCTCTTTCGTCCCATCCTTCAGTCCCTCTAACAACAGTATCATTTGAACTCACTTTCTTCGGTTTAGCTATTACTTCTTTTTTCTTATTTCGAAGCTGAGTGCTGAAACTCGAAACCTGCAAGCAAATGAGAAGCACGAGTTCAGATTAGGTTCACTTCGTATTAAGATCCCTTCCGACTTGTGACGTCTTAGACCAGCGTACAGTTGCGAACTAAGTCTGTTTGAAGGACACACAAAAGACGACGTAAGCAATAGGTCTGCCCACAGTTGGATTATCATCCTTCTAACTACATTGAGGACGTAGCGACTGGTTCTAGAGGATGTAGCACCGATATTGATCCAATTCGTTATCAATTGGTTAATGTCTTCGACATTTTTCGTTATTGAGCAACTATAGCTTCTTCTTCCATTTCAGCTGATATTGACCCGTCTTATATTTCAGGAAATATGACATTTACAAAATCCAAACTATATACAAGCAAACATGACGCACCCATTTGATCCACGAGCAGTATTCACTATATGCTGTGACGAAGAAATGTACCTCAATTATGGTGTTACTCGAGTACACATGGCATATGGGAAACCTCCTCCCAACTATATAGCATCTTCCTGGGAAGCTCTTCTTCACCTGCTCGTAGACGTGAACCCTTTAAAAATGTACTAGATAAAAACACTTGCGAAGAACAGACGCAAGAGCTAATGTTTTTTTGGGGACACATACTACTCAGAAAAAGCTGACTTCTAGGCGTTCTATCATCCGCTGCTACCTGGCGTTGCACATGGTTCAGTCGATTAAAACCAATTACAACAAACAACTAGAACACAACTCACTTGATTCGGCTCAGCTGTGGACAAAACGTCAAAATCCTTCGGAACCTGCTCCAACAGCAGATCACGAACACTGCCACCAACGAGATATGTTTCATAACCTGTATTGAAAGCATGTGAGCTGATGGGCCGAGAAAACTTCGTGGATCATGCAAGAACCCTTCAAGACTCACGATGTGCGTTGAGGCCAATTAACCTTTAATAGAGGCACAGCTTAAGTTTAAGCGCTACAAGTCCAGGAACAAAAGCAGTTGCATACAGAATCACACAAGCAAGGGAGCTCAACACATACCTGCATCATGAAGATTATCTAGAACTCTCCATGTTGATCTCGGTATAAGACTGTCGTGAAGACCATGTTGTTTTCCTCTCAGCACTTTCAGTTGCACTTGCATAGGCTGCTTCCCTATCTCCAGGAAGGCGGCATAGACGAAGAAAGTCAATTGCCAAGAATCACCTCAAACAAAACGAATTCGGCATCCTGGCAAAGGATCATGCACGAACAAGAAACTCACAGATTTGGAGACGCAAACAGTTAAACTTATCACAAAGCTAGCAACTACACCTGAGGTGGAGGATGGAGTGCGAGCCACATCTGTATCCTCGACTGCTTCTCTCAAGGCAACAGCTGCTACTGGGCCTTCGAACTCGCCAAAGGTGCTCTCCGAATCCAGCAAAGGTAGAGCCTTCTAGGTAGAAAATACATAAGAAACAGGAAGGAAAATTAAAAACCTGTGAATCCAGCACTAACGTCTGATCCTTATTGCTGACCCTTAGGAATCTTCGATAACTGAGTCCAGATCATAGCTCAAGTTGAACAGAATGTAAGCGCTATATGAGAATGGAGAAAGGACTGGAGGAAATTGACGACAGAAGGTATGTGGATCAGTGTGACAGTTCGTGATGCCTAAACCACAAACTGTAACATTTATGAATCGCATTAAATTATTTTTTACAATTAGCGCATGGCTAATACAACCAACCAAATTACGAACAAATATCAAAAGAATTTAGTACATCTAAACCTGCTCAGAGTTCGACAGAGACGGAGCTTACTGTGAGGACTAGACCAGCGATGAAATTTCTCCTGCGGACCCGAAATACGATAAAAAATATTGCTTGATTTTAAATAAACACTGCATGATCACTAAACGTTGCTTATGCGCAAAGGGTATCCTGAGGGTTTAAGCTTCTAAATCACTGAACAAGGACTGATGTCAATGCGCAGGTAAATCAGCAACGGACAAAAACGTAGTCCTCCTCCTTGTAGTGCAATCTTTGAATCAACTCAAAATTCAGAAAATTTGTAATCGGTTGATAGAATCTCTAGGGTTTAAGGTTTCCGACATTGGATCTATAAATCTCCTAGGTTTGAGCCCTTTTTAATTCCTAAATTACTTCCTTGTGGGCAGTAAACCCATTTACCTTGAACTGTGCTGCAATTGAGCAAATGGAGGCGACAGTGGAATGTCGCCAACCAGTATAAAAAGCCCGGTGCAGAGCCACCGATGTTGTCATTCCTTTCACATGAGCTGGCAAAATCTCAAAAATTCACGACCCCAACAACTTCGAAAACAATCCGTACCCTGCATCTAAACATTACGCGATTACGACGATCACACTCTTCACACCAACAGAGTTCTGACGCGATCGAATTCCACTACATTCATCGCCAACATCCTCCTCGTCTTCGCGAAGCAGGAAGGGCGGTTCCATAGTTAAGAGGTGACTCTAGGTTAAGAGACCGATTTTGCTCCATGGTCTGGTCTGGTGACCTTCGACAAACGGACCGTGCGTCTTCATGTCTAAACCACGTTGTATTTTCCTGCCGTCTCCAGAAGGTGAGGTCTCCAAGTACATTGCCATAGCAAGGTTGCAGTCAGAAGCAAGCGATTTATGCGCTGCGCTCTATCCTGAAGGGGAAAGGGGGAGATGCATGGGATCATCGAAATCACGTTGCAAACATCAACTAAAAGAACAATCCAGCCCCAAAGGAGGCCCTGTCCGCAAGCAGTTGCGAAGATTATCAATCAAAACGATGTATTGTTATGACTTTTCCCATGTTAGTAAATCCCACATTATTCATCTCCATCCTCGTCTATCTTTCTTCTTTATCTTCGATCTCAAATGAGATCTTTACTCGCCCACAATGCATGACTTTAAATTTTCATCGATCCTCATGAAACCACGAAGGAACTACCAAAATGGTTGTCAGCTTTGCTCCCATCACAAGAACTACTATCCTCACACAACACTGTGACTTAACATCTATTGTAGTTCTGAAATATCGCCAATCCTTAAACAACAGTGAAGATATTATCAAAACTAAATAAGGGATATATAATGTTTTCCAAACCTTCGCTGGACTGGCTCTTCACCTTTGCTCTTCGATTGACAATTATGCAAGCAACCCGGTTACTACCGTGTACGAATTTTTGGGCTCAAGAATTGTCGTGCAGGATTAATTTTTGTACCCTCTGATTTCAGGATCGCCAGGGTACTGAAAGTGCTTGTTCAAGAGGCTTCATGTGAAATATCATAAAAACACATTATATGCAAAGCCGTGGAGTCGTTATACATGATGTTGTTAAGGAAAAATAAATTACATACTGAATATATATTTGAAGAGAGAGCGTTGATATTTCTTTAGAATTTGGAATTCACATCAATCACAGATTGAATAGAAAGCAAGAGATATATGTTGCTAAATCATCTAAGTCATCTCAATCCACATATTTTCATAGTCATATCCACTTGTCCAATCTTGCATGGTCTAGGTGTTGAATTCCAAATTTCACCTAATATTCAAATATTTGGAATTCAACACCTAGACCATGCAAGATTGGACAAGTGGATATGACTATGAAAATATGTGGATTGAGATGACTTAGATGATTTACCAACATATATCTCTTGCTTTCATCTAAAAATTGATGGAATTTTATCTAAGTTTTTTAAATAAATTTGTCTTTGAAATCATGGCAAAATTGATCATCAAGTAAAACATAATCTCAACTCAATCTTAACATCAAGATAAAACACATCATTACTTACCAGACAAAACATTCCAAGTATTTGGAACAAAATTGGATTTCAATCTGTAGATTATTATCGTGTACTTAATTGAATCAAATAATAAATATGTATAATTTACATATTTTATAAATGTTGTTAAGATGAAATATTGAATATCTCATTTTTGAAATAAAATAAATATTTGGCATAAATTCAAATTCTATGGTTATTTGAAATATAGATCAATGAACAATAATCATGTATAATTACAAGTATACTACTTATCTTAAAATAAGTTTATAAATTTTTGTATTCAAGACTCTACATCAATATTATTATTTTGAATTATTACTTCATTAGATTCCTAATAACCTCTAATACAGCTTTATTGTTAAATAACAAATTACTTGAGTTATATCCAAAAAAATAAAATATATGCTCTCAATATATCTCTTTAAAAAAATAAGCAATTTCTTATATTAAAAAATTCATATCTGTTGAAATGAATTTTTTATAACTTTTCCAATGTCATTTAGTTTTCAAGAAATTTAACATAAAAATTCAATTTTACATATATTCAATTCAACTATCCATTTTAATTTTAAACTGAATTATAATATCATATCATTATTAATTTTTAAATATTTAATTTAATTTAATAATTTTTAATAATGAACTTGAAGAATAATATTAAATAAAAATTTTTATAAACTGAAATTTTTTTAAATGCTATAAATCTACTATAAAAATCTTAATTAGATTTTTTGATTTAATTTAGGGAAAAATTTACAATTGTAATGATTTTCTTTTTTAAAGTTAAAAACAAAAAAGTACAAAAAAGTGTTAAATTGCAATCTTTTCATATTGATTACATTTTAGTAATTTTGTACTAGCAAATTTTATCTTTTCAATTATTTGAATTATAAAAAGAATTAGATGCTAGTATTTATTTCACATTTAATTTAATTATGAACATTGTCAGTTTCATTAAATGGATCATTGAACTTGTCTAGCATTAGATATTAAAAAAATAGCTCATTCAAATATGTATCATAACTCGTAACATGAAAGATGTTTAAAATGCTTTTATTCATCTTGATATAGATCTAATAAAAAGGTATGAGTAAATAAAATCTCATACGGTTATAAATTAACACACTTACTATTCAATTATCAAATACAAAGTTCTTGACATGAGGACTATAAACAATACTATTAAAATGTAATTATATCCGAACGACAATGATGTAAGATCAGAACCACCCCTATAGAAAGCTTGACACATCTACAAAGACGTGAAAATCCTTGCTCCAATCTGGCACCATCAGGATAGGAGCTTCCACTAGTCGCTGCTTCAAGTCATTAAAGCTTTGCATTCTAGCAAGTGTTGGTTCAAAATCAGCACCCATCCTAAGCATGCAAGTCAATGGAAATGCCAACTTAGCAAAGTGCTTAATGAATCGCCTGTAGTAGCCCGCGCATCCCAAGAATCCCTTGACTTCAGAAGTATTGGTAGGAAAGGAAATGCCCAACCATACTGCCATCTTATCTTGCTCCACCTCAATACCTCTCTTTGATACTTTGTGGCTGAAAAGAACTCCCTCCGTAACAGCAAAGTAGCATTTTCCTAGATGTAGCTTAAGGACAACTTCCCCACACTGTTGGAATGTTTGACTCAAGCAATCAATGTGATCTGTAGCTGGGCCATACACTACAAAGTCATCAATGAAAACCTTCAAAAAAAATTTCAAAAAATCATGGAAAATGTTCATCATTAACCGCTGAAACGTGCATGGGGCATTTCCTAACCCAAATGACATTTGTCTGAAGGTAAACACTCCCCATTTTGTAGTAAACGCCGTCTTTAGTTGGTCTTACTTTCTGATCTAAACCTGATTATATCCTGAGTAACCATCCATAAAACTATAGAGCTCTTGACCTGCCACTATATCAAGAATCATATGCGTGAATGGAATAGGACAGTAATCCTTCTTAGAGGCGTCGTTCAACTTCCTGAATTCTTGGCAAATTCAAATTTTTGGTGTTCCATCCGGACCAAGTTTCTCAGGTACTACCACTAAAGGAGACACCCACTCACTATTGAGTACTCGATATATGTAACCAGCGTCTAGCAACTGATCAATTTCATCCTTCATCATCAAGTAATACTTAGGATTCATGCGGTGTTGCCTTTGCTCCCACCATCAAATCAATCTTGCTACTGGGCCTTCGAACTCGCCAAAGGTACTCTCCAAATCCAGCAAAGGTAGAGCCTTCTAGGTAGAAAATACATAAGAAACAGTAAGGAAAATTAAAGACATGTGAATCCAGCACTACCGTCTGATCCTTATTGCTGACCCTTAGGAATCTTCGAAGAATGTTAAATTTAATCTTAAAACAACCACACACGCTTGTGTGGATGCCAAGAAAGCTGCCGGATGCAAGGAGTGCGATCACATTCTTTGACAAGCCCTCAAAAACGTAATAAGGGTTGTTTTTGTAGTATTTGATGTCCATGGTAGCAGTGAGTGTGAAAAGTGCGTCAGAATGAGCTTTGCGAAAGAGCTAGTTAATACTTTGTTGCATGGCAATGGCTGGATACATGGAAGTATCAACTATGACCGTGTTTTTTGCACAAGAAGGAGGAGAGAAGCCAAAAACACGCTCGCAGTGGATACTTGGACTTGTGTGCAAAAAGAATTTGTTTTGACATGTTATGTGACCGCGAGATGCGTCTTTGGTTTTAGTATGATCGTTTTAACAATTTGTGAAATCGTTTTAACATTCCCCTATCTTAATCTATAGTAACTTCAACTTTAATCTCAACTAATTAAAGATGGTTACAACTTGTTATTATATAAGAACTCTAACAATGTTGTTTAGTGATATAAATTATTATTTCAATTCAATATTTTTTTAAATAAAAATATATCTAAGCGTCACATATTGTTTTTTCAAATAATGTTTTATATTTTACTTGAATATTGAATGAATATTGATAATATAAGAAATTTTTATTGAAGTTCTAGAAAAGCCAAATTTGTATTGATAAATCCATTTCATTCGTTTAAAAATAACATTAATTTAATGAAATTAAGAAGGTTGGATCTAATCATCCAACATAGTTGCAACATAGCTGTAATTACTTAAAATTCATCATGAATTCATCTAATTGAGATGATTTAATTAGATTTAATTTGCTAATTTGCAAGCTTTTTGGTTTGACTTTTTCTTATCAAATCAATTGTCATTATCATTTCGGTTTAGTTTAATTGTTGCTATTTTTTTGAAATGATTGAAAGATTTTCAACATAAATTATAAATATAAAAAATCAAATTTATATTAATTAAAAATATTATAATATTTGTAGGTTTTGATTGAAGCCTTATTTCATTTTTTGTCTTCTTCACACATAAGACAAATAATTGAAGTTTGTAATGGAAGTGATGTTATGCTATTCAAAAATATTTGTATTTATTTAAAATTTAAAATTTAAAATTTCTTTTGTGAATTTAATTATATCTAGAAACATCCAACCTTTTTATAATAGATGATCTAAATAAAATTATTTCTAGAAAATAATTCAAATAAGAGTATATTTATCATCATTTCATCACATTTTATGATCATGAACATAATGTTATTTAAAAAAATATTAATTCTAATAATGTTAAAATAAAGTGTTGTTTGTTGAAAATAAAATGTTTCATGTGAACTTGTATAATAAATATGATTCATTGTACAAATTCATATTAAGAAAAATCAATGTTATTCTTATTTTTAATTAGAAAAATTAAATGCTTTTGAAACATTTTTATTATTCTTTTCATGTATCATTCATTGATCATCTAAAATACGTGATCATGTATATGCAAGCATGCATAATTTAGGCAACCGTATGTTAGCTTGCCTAAATAATCTAAATTGCTTTGCATTTTGGTGTCTAAATTTATGCAGAGGAAACATCCCGCCGTCACCATGTCTGTATAATTTTACACCATCAACACTTATAAAACGTAGTGAAAAATTTCCAAGCTAAGTTTGTAATCAATTACTTCTGATCAAGAATGTG